TAAAAAAAATTGTAGTATATGAATTAAGTCAATCGAATCGACTGTTTCTTGTATTAAGCTATGTTTTATGCCAAATTGCATCGATGTACACATTTCTTTATAATTAATACAAATGCTTTCCAAATTAATACTGAATAATACAAACCACATTTAAATTTTATCTTAACTAATAAGACTATATATAACAGTATATTGCATCGATGTGTAATAATGTAATAACATCATTTCAATAAAGAACGTACACGGAAGCTATTTCTGATCCTTTTATTGTCTTTTACTAGTCTACTGCCTGTTCAAGTATCAAAAGAGTTCACCTGTTTCGGATATCATGCCGGAACAAACAGGCAAACAATAAGGCATCGCAAAATACACACAATTATACTACATTAACAATTCTTTTGTTTTTGAATCGTAGCCAGCCATTACAGTTTTAGAAAGTTTGGAACATGATTCCAGTGTTTGATACACTGTAGGCTTGTCTTGAAATTGACGCTGTATTTTTCAAGACACGCCACAATAGTTTGATACACTTAGAAACGACGGACATGTTGCGTTTTCGTTTCGTTATTATGTCTTCATTATTGTAACAAAGACTGTAAAATTAAATGAAAATAGAGAGACTGACAAAAAGATATTTAATCATAATTTATTATTGTAAGATTTAACTTTTTTGGAATATCGCAGCAGTCTTAATATTCGTCGTAAAAGTCGTGATATAATAAATTACATGATATTGTGTTTGTATATTCCCTTTCCCCATAGCAAATCGGCTAAATCGCACTGATCCCAGGAATTACGTTAAGTCTTCTTAGACCTTATTCGTACGAATGCTTCCGTTTTCGAATAATCCGCAATTTTTGTAAAATAATATTCTCTTTTCGCACTAAGAATATTTTAAGTGAAAGAAAACTGTATAATTAAATTAGTCACATTTAGAAAAAGATTTTTATATGAAAAAAATCCTGAATGTAAATAAGTGAATATATAAACGTGCTGTGGTGTGACCGCGTAACTGTTGTAACTCAAATGACCAGGGCTAGTCCGGGGAAGTACCACGGACGGCAGCGTGAAGTGGAAGATTACAGCTTCACGTTTCGTCTGGTTAGTGAGATAACTGGTGTCCACATTTTGAAAGGTGGACGTTATTCACTTATCATCAGCTGCATTAGATGAACCACCTGCTCGGTTGATATTTTTTACATTAAAAATACTCTCAAACAAATGCTCAGATCCGAAAATATTCAAGGTCATAAAGGTGCTAAGGGCCTAACATGTACTATGTCTGTTAAGAACATTAACTGATATCTACTATAGACAAAATAACTTTTTTATGATTTCATGAGTCAAAGCAAGAGCGTCCTATAATTTGGTACGCAACTTGTTACAAGAGCATCACAAAGCAATTCTTAAAATAATCATCAATATTTAATTTATTCAAGGCGTTTTCCTCCTGATCCTTCAAAAACTTACGACCTTTTGCATCTACGGGCGAAGTGACTACAACACGCGCTGCCTAACAATAAATTCTGCCCGAGTGCCTTGTTAGTCCCCATCCTTCGGTTGACCTACTTGATCTAATAATAAGCATGACTTACCGCGTACCTTTATGGAGTAGAACGTATGAGAAGAGAAAAATCTTTTACGTTAGAGAGAAAGGCGACGGTAGTAATTGTCGATTGCATTTTCTTTCTGGATATTTGAAATAAGAACGTTTTTAGGACAGGTAGCAGTATTTTCTTCGTAATTTCAAATGGAAACCGTTTAAGTAACAACGGTAACGTGTTCTTACTTCTTGAAAAGATACTTTCGAATAAGTACGAGAACTTGACGACTAACACAACGATGTGCGTTTCAACAAAACATTAACTGTAACCGAATACGGGCTTTTTTAGTGTTTGAATTATTTTTCTTTTAACAAATGGCTGTCTAAAATTTTAGCCATTTAAAATTTCTCAACAATTAATTAAACATTTTGTGTCAACTCGAATGAATATCATTTTGATAGTTTTAAGTGTTTTTGTTAGTCTACAATCGCAAGGATGTGTTATTTCTTCTTAATCATTAGTTCTTTATAAATTAATTATTGATGTATTGATTTGAGTAGGTATGATCATAGTTGTTGCTATACATCGAAATATAACAAAATATAAATATCGATAACGCTTAATCGAAACAAAACAGGTAACAAGAACATTAAGTACCTATATTATGTAAAGAATTATCAATTTTGTTAATTTATTAAAAAATCCCGACTACATATTATAGTATGTGTGTAGAACAACGTAATATTCATGAGTATATCTAAGATAAGATCGAAGACCGGCGTGAAGTGCAAGTGTTGTACTTCTGCGTTTCGTCTGGTGAGTGAGGTAGCCGGGACACACTTTATTATAAGGTGGCAACGTATCTGCAACCCTCCGGGTGTTGCAAATGTTAAAGCGTGGCGATAACCACTTAACGTAAGGTAAATCGCTAGCTTGTTTGCCACATTAAAAAATCTTTTATATGAATTCTAGCTGACCCGGCAAACGTTGTTTTGCCATATAAATTATATGTAGGGTAGAAAAAATGTTTGGGTGGACCACCCTTAACATTTAGGGGGATGAAAAATAGATGTTGACCGATTCTCCATCCTGGCCGATTTGCACACGAAATTTCACGAAAATCGGTCAAGCCGTTTCGGAGGAGTTCAATTACAAACACCGTAACACGAGAGTTTTATATATTAGATCTAAACTTATGAATAACATAAGAATAATCATTTTCAAAAGTATTGGAGTATGTTCTTTTTCACATTTTCGGTCACAATGTTCTTTGCTTTATTTTTCAGTTATTTTTATTTTTCCTTTTGCGTTTAAATTATGTTTAACTATGGATATATATTGTCAACTACAATCGCAACTGCGAAATCAGTAAACAAAAAATGTCGACTTTATTAGTGGGAACGTATTGACATAATGAGTGATACAACGAGTTGTTTTTGTTACAAATTTGTATGGAGAACGGGTCTTAAATGGGCTATAAAATATTTTATTCGACAATTACACGCCATAAGAAAACAAGCGGTTTCCATCCTCGTCCTAAATGATCAATAAATTCTAATGTCCTGAGCTGCTTTACGATTATTACAGAGTTGTTGGGGCGTTTCAATAGCTTTGTAGTGGTTTTTGCTCGGTGGAACCTCTACTAAGCTATTGGCTTGGACGTCTGGGGTCGTGGGTTCAATTCATACACGGTACAAGTATTTGTGCGACCTAAAAATAATTCCGGATCCGAGTGTGTTCTCAAGGAGGATTGTTTCAGGCAGGCGGCCTATAGTCTATAGTCTATATATAGCCCTGTGGTCTCGGGCTCATAGTATAGGGCTAAGGTATCCCCTGCCTGTCGTAAAAGATGACTAAATAGGGACACGGATTGGCAGCAGCACGAAGTGGTCTCGAGCTGCCGCAGGATGGCGAAGGGATCGGGGATGGTTTATTCTTCGAGGCGTGCTCACGCGCAGTACTGAGGCACACCGGTATGTTCTGTAGGAGATCCCGCAGTCCCTCCAAACGTACATGATTTGCATGTTACGCCGAGAAAGCCTATATGTGATAAACTCACGTTACTATTTACTTTTAACATCAGAGATTAGGTAATTAATTTGGTTTTTTTTTTGGCAAGAAAACAGGCGGTTACACCGATGTTAGGTGATTCGCCGCTCGATCGATCGATGCGTTACCGAACGGTTTAAAAATGTTACCTCACTCAGCAGACGAAGCCTACTTTATTAAATGGTGGCAACCCATCTGCAACACTACGGTGTTACAATTACCCATGGGCGGTGGCTATCACTGAACATCATGTGAAACACCAGTTCCCTTGCCACCTCCTCACATAAAACAATTACGATTTCAAAAAGTACGTTTAGACAAATACCATTGAGATAATAACGATAAAACAATGAAGGGAATATTTTAAGTTTAGGAATCGTAAACATTGTGCTGTAATATTAAAAAAAATTAACTTGAAATGGTGTTTAAATTACCATTTCAAAAAGTAAGTTAGGACAAATTCAATTGTGATAATACAATAAAACTATAAAGGGAACAAATAGTTTAAGTTTAGGAATCGTAAGCATTGTGGTGTAATGTTATAACTTGAAATATTGTCTTGACAATCTTATTTATTCTGGTTGTTTCATTCAAAATTTGATTTTTTTAAAGAATACAATTAAAAAAGAGAGACCACATAAAAGAACGTAATCTGAAAATTGGATCGGTTAAATCCTCAAGCAAATTAATCGAATTGAAACAAGACCGTTAATTTTTCAGTATTTCCTTTACAAAGCCAAACGAAAGTGTCCTTTATCCCCAGATCCAATTGGGATAAAATATTGAAGCTAATTTAGATTATGAGTATTACTTACTATACATAGTGTATATATATGCCCTAGTTATCTATATTCTATTGATTTTATAAAAGAAATTTTAAATAAAAAATGTAGTTTTGATGGTTTCTCAAGCTTGTTTAGATCTTCACACGAAATAGTCATCCAATTTTTGTTATCGGTACTAAAAGTGACTATGAATCGACCTTTAATATTATAATTACCTAATTAACGGCGAGTTTTCAAAATTAATCTCTATAAAATATTTTTTTAGACTAGAAACATTTGCAGGCGTAAGCAGAAAAACTCACTAAATATCATAACCAGATGAATGTTTAAGAGCGCAAAAAGGACAAAAATATCAATATTTTCTTTATCATAAAAATAATATCTATCTCACTCCGCGCGCGCGCACTCAGCGTATGGACGTGTTGCTCATTATTATTTCTGTATTTCGTAGGTAGTACCAAGTAAAATGGTTCAGTGTAGAAAGTGCAAGTTATTTGTTTCTTTAGCAAAAGATGATGTTATTAAGTGTAAAGGTTAATGTGACTCTGTGTATCACAAAAAATGCTTAAACGTAAAGGAGTTCCAAAGAACCCAGCTGTGTGAATCATGTCTCAAAAGTGAAATGAGCCCAAAAACGCAAGTATCTACAATAAATGTAGATATCGGGAAAGCTAGTGCCGAAACGCTTCTAGCTGAGGTCAATAAAAAACTGGAAATAATTTATCAAACACAAAAGAAGATTGATGACCTAACAGAGGCCGTGGTTTTCTACGCTGAACAGTACCAAATGATGCTTAATTTTAAGGAAGCCGCGGAGAAGAAAATAACTGCTTTGGAAAATAGAAATAAGTATTTACAAAAGTGCAACGACTCCTTAGAAGAGAGGATAATGTTCTTGGAACAAAGAGAAGTGGAGAAAAATATTGAAATAGCGTGCCTGGATGAGTCACAAAAGGAAGATACAAAGAAAATTGTTGAAATTGTTGCACAGAAATTAAATTTAAATACTGGTAATATAGAGGACGCAAAGAGGGTAGGTCGAGAAAAGAAAGAAGAGGGTAGGTCGAGAAAAGAAAGAAGAGGGTAGGCCGAGACCTATCGTCGTAACCCTACGAACCAAGCAAGCTAGAGATGAATGGCTAAAGCAAAGAAAAGTGTTAGTAATTAATAAGGAAATTCTCGGCAACAACAATGGTAAGCGGGTGTATATAAATGAAAATCTTCCTAAAAATACGCGACAATTGTTATGGAACGCAAAGAAAATGTTAAAAGACGTCTATAAACACATATGGCCACAAAACCTTAAGGTTTTGGCTAAAAAACACGATAACTCGAAAATACGCTGGATCCGTTCGGATGCAGGTATCAATAATATGTGTTTCAATATTGATAACAGCAGCGTATAGTAAATAAGACACAATAAATTAGTATTGTGGAAGCTCACTGTATGTGAATACCTAAATCCACAAAATGGATGATATTTTATAACACATCGAGGATAAATATGACGATAAAAAATTTCTAGATGCAAATACGTGGAGCACATACTTAAAAACATCCACGGAGGACCTACAAATAATTCCTGACCTAAATATTCGTTCTCTTAGGAAGAAGTTTAATGAATTGCTAATATTGCTTGAGCGCACTAATTTTAGTATAGACATTTTATTATTAAGTGAAATAAATATCAGACAAGCGGAGTTGCCGTTATATTGTATAGATGGGTATGATATGCACGGGTTTACAAGAGAAAATCGACGAGGAGGAGGCTTATTAGTGTACTCCAAAAATGAATTGCGCCTGCAAACAGTAAACCCGCAAAGCTGTGGTTTGGAAATATTGCACAGTCAACTTAAGAGCTCTGACACCACCATACACATAATCACCGTATACAAACCGCCAAACACAAATAAGTTACGCTGTATTCAAGAATTATCTATACTAATTAAGCAAATTCCCGAATACGAGGACGTCATTATTGCAGGTGATATGAATATCAACTTATTAGAAAAAAAAATACAACCACCGATAAATACAAAAACGCAATGTATAGTTACGGAATGCAGAGCGTTATCAGTGACTGTACTCGCGAGGAAATATTAGCCGGTAGATTCGTAACGTCGTGCATTGATCATGTGTGGGTACGTACACGCAGCCGCCGATTCGCTTCACATATGTTTACGTGCAAGTTGTCGGATCACTATATGGTAGGTGTAAGTATTACCAAAGAATCAAAAGTTAGCCTTAATTGTAATAGAAAAAAACGAGTAATACAGCCGTGGATCTCTAAAAAAATTAAAATATTGATAGATAGAAGAGATTATTTATTCCGGAGGTGGAAGACTAGTCCTCAAAATGTTACTTATAGATTAGAATATACGAAACACAGAAATAAAACAAATAAAATTATTAACAAAGCTAAAAATAATTATAGAAGGCAGGAACTATCACGCTGTCAGGGAGACTTTAGGAAATTATGGTAAACAATAAATTGCTGGCTAGGAAGTAGTAAAAATAGCTTAGATGACGTAGTAATCAAGTATCTAGGAAAAATCAATTGTTTAAGTGACATATGTTCAAAATTCACACAAACATTTACAAAAGAAATTGATAAAATAAAACATCAATGTAATATTAAGTTCCTTAATCGCGAGACCTATGTAAAATCGAGTGATACCACTTTCTATTATAAAAAGGTAACCGAAAATGAAATAAAAAAAATAATTAGTCAACTAAATAGTAAAAAATCACCAGGTTTAGATGGAATAAGGCCGCAAGATCTAATTTTAATTAAAGAAAAAAATAAGTCCAATATTAGCAAAATTTGTAAACCTTAGTTTTAAAACAGGCTTATACCCAAACAGTTTAAAAAAGTCTATTATCCGCCCTGTTTATAAGCAAGGAGACCATTGCAATTATTCAAACTATAGACCTATTGCAATATTGTCTGTTATTAATAAAATAGTGGAGAAAGTGATAGTTAAGAGAATTAGTGAGTATCTAGAAAAAAACTGCATAATTACAGAAAAGCAGCACGGATTTAGAAAATTACGTAGTACATCGACGGCCTTATCTATTTTCACCGACGACATCAACGAATGCTTAGGTAGTATGTATTTATTAGCAGTATGTATTTCTTTTATTCATAGATTTTAAAAAAGCGTTTGATACGCTGGACCATGACCAGCTGTTGGTAGCTATGGAAGAGTGCGGAATCCGCGGGCCAATCAGCTCATGGTTTCGTAATTATTTACATAACAGAATGTTGTGCACAAAGATAAAAGAAACCATTTGTCATGGTAAATTAGTTAGTACTGGAGTTCCTACTGGCTCTGTGTTTGGCCCTGTGGGCTATATCATGCATGTAAATAGCATGGTTAACGTTGTAAAAAACTGCAGAACATACATGTATGCTGACGACACATGCATGATGTATGCTGACAGGGATATAAAGGTGATTGAGAACAAAATACAATCGGATTTTGATAACGTAATCAAATGGTCCCACGATAATGGAATAAATTTAAATATAGAGAAAACGAAATGCATGCTCATTCAATCGCCATATCTGCATAAACCATGTTTACCTATAAATATCATAGGCCATTCGTATGATTGCTTGCATAGAAATAAACAATGCATTGGTTGTAAATCGATTGAGCTTGTTGATAATTACAAATATCTAGAATTAACCATAGATACTAAGTTTAGTTGGAATTTCCATATAGAACGAGTATGTAATAAATTAAGATCGTTATTATGTAAGTTTGTACACCTTAAAAGTGTTGTTGATAAAAGAACTTTACGCATTCTGTACTATGCTCTCGTGGATTCTGTAATTAATTACGGCCTTTCAGCCTATGGACGTACGTTCCGAACGTACATGGATAGGATACATAATGTTCAACTAAGATTTATTATAGTGTTAGTTAATAAGCAAGCTAAAGAGAAAAGTAAGGGTAACTACAATCTATTGTTTAAGAAATGCAGTATTCTACCAGTACGTGAAAAAACAAAGTATTTATTAGCAATTGAAGGGTACGAAAGTAAATTTTTAGTTAGGAAATCAATTTATGCCAATTTAAGAAAGAATACTCGTAAATTGTTTGAGGAACCAAGTGCGCAAAACTACTTTGGTGAAAGGACGCGTAGGTATTTAGTGCCAAGAATATTTAATGAAAACGTGCCACAAGAGGCCTGTCGGACAAAACAAATTTTTAAAAACAAATTGAAATATTGGCTACTGAATGCTATTGACGACCTGTAGTACTAATATTTAGTTTATTATTAATTATTAATGTTAATTATTTTTTTATTAATCTTTATTCATTATTAATTTAGTTTAAGATATTCTTTTATAGCTTTGTTATTAATTTAGTGATAAGTGTACTTTACCTACTTAGTCTTTAGTTTTTAATTACTTTATGTTATGTTTACTAATATGTTTTGTTTTAAAATTTGTAAAGTTTTAAATTTAAAGTATTAAAAGTATTCAAATGCAATTGTAAACCGTAATGAGTGCAGTTTCGCCAATAAACTGTATTCTCAGTTTGGCGAACTTAATGTTTTTTGAACCAATTGTATTTACTATGTTAATAAATAATACATAAATAAATATTCTTTTATGATAAAAAAATAAAAGAACAGGAAAATCTCAACATTTTTGACTCGATATTTGTTAACGACATAGCTATTTAAAAGGAGTGTGTTTTATATACTTTTTATTGCGAATTTCCAACGGAAACGGAAAAAGGACCACAGCGAAACGTGGTCGGATTCAAGTAATCAATTCATAAAACAAGAAAAATCCAAAACATTTTGGACAATATTTAATTTTATTTAGAAATATAAATAATGTTACTAAAAAATCGAATAATTCGTAAAAGTAATAAAGTATTGCAGTTTTTGACTGACATATTTTCAGTAGTTAATTGGTACATGTATATTGGAAACGGACTTGACAGTAATAAAATATTATTTTTTAATTAATTTATTTTGTTTATAACTTACGTACACAGAGAATTAATTATGACAGAAATGTAAATACATGAAATAATTTATTTTTATTTTTTATTTATAATACAACAGAGGTCGTTTGATAAGCCAACGACTTGAAACGCTTAACAGTCGTAATAAATACTCGCGGCACGTTTTACTGATGATGATTGCTATTTAAACATAGTCGTTTGGAATGGAGCAGGCATTAAATGTAACAATTCAAGATAAGTATCATTGGCAGAAGTGTCATCGTTATTTCATGAACCGAATGACTGAGAAAACAAGAAAGGAAGCAACACACATTTCAACGGTGCCTCAAATAATTTAGCTAAGTTTTAATGTCGATATACGTGTTTACAGTTTGTTTTAAAGACGTCATAGAAAGGGAAAGTCATTTTCTTCGTACGAACAATAACTTAGGTAATAAACTTTGTCTCATTGGGTGATATATCAATGTTGTATGTTTGCTATTCACTTTATATATGTGGTATAAATATTTTATACACTTAGTATAAAATTACACCATAAAACTTAAACCATAAAAAAAATATTTTTCAAACAAACTAATTAAGTGAAAAAGATACAAAATTTGTAACATCCTATACAACTACAAATAGAAGAAGGACCCACACAGCCCCAACCAGACGACGTGCAGAAAAAAGTTAAAAAAAGAAGGTGGGCTAACTGATTCATAGATTCAGAGACTTTTTCATTTGTTGCCCCAGCGCCGCATTACAAGCCTCTCCTTCTAACAGTATGTTTTTGTAAAACAACATATCTTTTTTAAATTCATTCAACCCATTCATATGCTTTGTAACCTTTACAAATGAACTTTACATTAAAGTTTTATACGTAAGGGTTTTCTAAAATTCTTTGTTTTGGAAAATTTGATAACTCGTTAAATATTGATGTTTAAAGAATGTAAATCTTTAATACAATTTTAAAAAGTTATCCTCTATAAGTGTGTTTATTTCTTGTCGCGATGGTAAAGACACGCTGTATATTATATATTACATATTACGATTTCGAATTGTAAGTTAAGTAAAATAAAATAAATCGATCTTCACGTTGCAAAATGCCAATTGC